GAAGTCATCTCGCGCTTCCGTTAGTTGCAAACAAAAGTAACAACTTCAATTTCAAACCATTGCCCACTCACCACAGTCGCCCCTCTGCATCGACGCGCGGAGGCTCTACGTCCACCACAAAAACAAAAACCCTCTCAAGTCGCAAACCTGGAATCCGCGGCGCCAGTAGCCGGCCGACTTATGGCCCCCAATGATCGGCCATCAGTTCCTATCGAAGAAGAACACGAGTACAGCTCCATTGCACCACCGCACATTGGATACACCCGTCGCTGACTTGCGCGCCAGTTATGAAGCGCTCCCGCCCAACTTCTCCCTCACCGCCAACATGCTTGCGGGCGCATTCGCAGGTGTTGCGGTACGTCTCCGAGGTCGCCGCCGTGTATATGTCCCGACTGACCCGACGATAGGAACACTCGGTGATGTACCCCGTCGACTTGCTCAAGGTTCGCAGCTTCCCACCAGGCTCTTCATGCACTGCCGACAGCGCGCTGACTCCGGACAGACCCGCATGCAGATCGTCAACCCGTCGCCGAGCGCCATGTACAGCGGTATCTCGAACGCCATGGTCACTATATCTAGAGCGGAGGGCTTCTGGTCACTGTGGAGGGGACTGTCGAGCGTGGTAATGGGCGCAGGTGGGTAGTGTCGGGCGAGCAAGACCGGCAAGGAGAACTGACAGAATGCAGGTCCCGCGCACGCTGTCTACTTTGCATCGTACGAAGCTACGAAGCACGCCCTCGGGGGCAATGAGGGCGAGAGCCATGAGCATCACCCCCTGGCGGCAGGTGCGCAATACCACGACTACAAATGCGGGAGCAGTTACTGACCATCAACAGCTGCCAGTGGTGCCGCGGCCACCATCTCCAGCGATGCGCTGATGAATCCTTTTGACGGTAAGATGCGCATCACGACCTCGCTCCGCGCCTACTGAATCTCGCAGTCATAAAACAACGCATGCAAATGCACGGTTCCATCTACAAGTCCGTCCCTCAATGCGCCCGAGAGGTTCTCCGCACTGAGGGCGTGGGTGCATTCTACGTCTCATACCCCACTACACTGTGTATGACGGTGCCATTCACCGCACTCCAATTCATGGCCTACGAATCCATGTCCAAGGTCATGAACCCGACCGGCCGCTACGACCCCTATACGCACTGCTTCGCCGGAGGTATCGCCGGAGGATTTGCAGCGGGGCTCACAACCCCCCTCGATGTCATCAAGACGCTATTACAAACACGCGGCAATGCTCGAGACGCAGAATTGAAGAACGTCTCCGGCCTAATCCAGGCAGCCAAAATTATCCACCAAAGGGAAGGATACAGGGGATACTTCCGTGGTTTGAAACCTCGAATCATCACCACCATGCCAAGCACGGCTATTTGCTGGTGAGTTTTGAGCTTTGACACCGCAACCGGTGTTGATCTGACATGGCATAGGTCCGCATACGAGATGGCCAAGGCTTTCTTCATTCGGAGGAGCACCAACTCATCAACGGCCATATAACAGGGAGACGACTATTTGACTGATCTTCTTTTGAACCATTACGAGAGCCCTCTGATACCGCGATATGCGCATTACCCACGGAACGACATACGCGCAGTGTCGCGGAGAGTAGCGACCATGGCAGTATTGGGCATCCAAAGCAAGGTCGAGCATTGTGTGTCGCGCTGGAGGAGCATAGGGCTGTGTCGCGACGCTTCTTCACTGCCATTGTATAGTCATAGAGGCTTTTGTGGAAGCCGATCTGGCGGCGTACTGGATGCTTGGTTATGCGAGCACACGACGGCATGCGCATTCTTGTATCATATAGCAAATTCAGTGTCGGCGTCACTCAAGACCCAAGAACATTTCCGCTCTTCAGCCCAAACAAGGTGCGTAATCGATAACAGCCGGGCGCAAAGAGCAGCCCCACTTGCACATGCGCCTTCCTCGTGCGTGGCTGTGTGAGAGCACGCGTACCCTGGGTTAACAGTATCACCTTGTGATGTGATGTAGTAGCGCGCGAGAGAGCGTACCCAGTTGCTTAGAGGATGCATGGATGCTTGAGGACAAAGCTGTCTTCCATGGTCGTCGCTGCTCAGCCTTCGCGGTTGCGAAACGCAGCTACCTACGTCACACACCCGCGCGAACTAAGACCGGCGACGAATCTACAAACACGAGCCCGAGACTGGACGCGAGACACCTATTTCGTCCTCCACGCCACCCCCCGCGTGAATTGGGCGCATCATCTACATGTTTTCCGCTATGCGCGCCAACACGACGCAGAAAGCCTACGACGAGGCTTTCCTAGCCTGCTCGACTGCCGTCTACTTTGAGGGCCAGGTCAGTGCCCAACCACCCGCCAAGTGTCGCATGTGCCCAGATCACTGACAGAGAGGCCTATAGAACAACGAGAAAGAAGCGCTGCGATCGTGGAAAACCGCCCTTGACCATATCTATTACCACAACGCCCGTCGCAACCCCTCGACCTACCGCCCCGCGTCCGAAACAGAGAGGGCTCTGATCGAATCGCTACGCCAGTTGGAGCTGCAATGTAAAGAGCGCGTGGATCTGTTGGAAGCGCTGAAGAAGAGTCGCAAGGAGTCGAAAGAGAGCCTTGCCTCGCTCTCGTCAGACAACGATGCACCCACACCACCACCCCACGGCGTGCCCCTATCGCAGAACGATTCAAGCGCATCTACATCATGGCTCGGCGCCGGATCTATACCACCCATAGAGTACACCGATCTCTCAAGACCGCCAGCATTGCCATACCGTCCGGCGATGGCGCCACGGAAGAGCTCCGGTACTGGCTCCATACGGGATAACAGCTTGACCCAGACTCGGAGCGCATCGACGCTATCTCCAGGACCAGCGGGAGAGAAGAAGACGCGTACACCATCCCCGGAGAAGAGTGGCAGAATGCTACGGACACTGAGACCTGGGAGAGAGAGCAAGCCATCTTCGGCGAAGTTGCCCAACACGTTGAGAAGTCGTCCGGATGCTTCAAAGGCGGCTACCCAAGCGTGGAGTGTCAAAACCACGGCATCCTCCACTCGGCCAACATTGGGGGCCCCGAACCCATCGACTAGCTCTCTTACACCCTCCGCTCGCTCCTCCCTCGATAAGCCGGCTGCTGAGAGACCGAATGCTTATTTTCCGAAACCCGAAGCACAACCGCCGCCTGCACAAGCACCGTTCTATTTCAGAGCTGGCGAGGGGTCAGCGTCAACTGCATATGCGGTTCCACCACCTGGTGGTGAAACTGATCCGGGGCCGGTCAAACCTGCTGCACGCGAGCGAACAGCGCCAGCAATACCCCGAAAGTCTGTGGGGTTGAGTCGAGTGAACAACGCGCAAGGACCCAGTACAGCATTACCATCGTACCGAAAGGAGTATCCCAAGCCCACACCGGACCCTCGATCTCTTGCCGCGTCTGCTGCAGCCCATTCGTACGGCGACAGTGGTAGCGAGCGAGGTGGAGTCATGTGGGATCCGACGACAAGGAGACTTGTACCGAAACCCAAGAGCAACGACACACAAGCTCGAAGCAGTTCAGAGCAGGAGGATTCACCCGAGTCTATATCACTGGGAGAGGACGGAGATTTGCTGAAGCAGAGGCCATCTCCAGTGCGGAAGGGCAGGGCTAGAGGCAATTCGATGCGTGCAGAACTACCAGATACCCCAGGCGCGGATAGTTCTGAGGCGGAACTGGAGCCAGAAGAGACTGATGAATGGAAGCGAAAGACGGATGAGATCATGAAGAATTTGCCACGGGGCGTCGATAAGCAAGCAGCACAGCAAATCTTGAACGAGATCGTGATACAGGGAGACGAGGTACACTGGAGCGACGTATCAGGGCTTGAAGTTGCGAAATCCGCCCTGAAAGAGACGGTAGTGTACCCGTTCTTGAGGCCTGACCTGTTTATGGGTCTGCGAGAACCTGCACGCGGAATGCTCTTGTTCGGACCTCCTGGAACTGGAAAGACTATGTTGGCCAGGGCAGTTGCTACAGAGTCAAAGTCTACTTTCTTCGCTATATCAGCTAGTAGTCTGACGTCGAAGTTTTTAGGCGAGTCAGAAAAGCTTGTTCGCGCACTTTTCCAGCTTGCAAAGATGCTGGCGCCATCAATCATCTTCGTCGACGAGATCGACTCACTCCTTTCGTCGCGCTCTGGATCCGGCGAACACGAAGCATCGCGACGCATCAAAACCGAGTTCCTCATTCAGTGGTCCGATCTGCAAAAGGCAGCTGCAGGGAGCGCGGTCACTGACAAGGACAAAGAGAGGGGCGACGCAACTCGAGTTCTCGTCCTCGCAGCTACGAATCTGCCGTGGGCGATTGATGAGGCAGCAAGACGACGATTTGTAAGAAGGCAATATATCCCACTGCCCGAAGATTGGGTCCGGAAGCAACAAGTCCAGACACTATTGAGCCACCAGAAACATGAGTTGAGCGACCGTGATCTGGATCGCTTGGTCAAGCTCACTGAGGGTATGTGATGGTCATTGAGGATATGCAGCGCCATACTAATCTCTTTCTAGGTTTCTCTGGTTCCGATATAACGGCGCTTGCAAAAGACGCTGCAATGGGCCCTTTGCGCTCACTGGGCGAGAAGTTACTCTCCATGACGATGGATCAAATACGACCGATACAATACCAGGATTTTGTAGCTAGTCTGCAGACTATCAGACCGTCTGTAAGCAAGCAAGGACTGAAGGAATTTGAGGATTGGGCTACACAGTTTGGTGAACGTGGAGGCTGAAGTGCTAATTAACGAGCTGGCACTGCGCCTGCAGTAACGAATCAAGTATTTACATGATATATACATGGTACCAGTCTCAACGTTATTTTATCCAATTGCTCGTAGCATGCTCACCCCACCTGCCTGGGTCGAGGATGGCTCCTTCCGTCTGGAGTGCGCCCGTGACCTAGCGCCATCTCAACCCAAGCGCATCTCATATCCAGCAACGCGTTTTTCTTCTCTCAATCTGTTGTACCATCGCTACCGGAGCAGAAAATGGCACCTCGCAAGAAGACAGAAGAGAAGGCCACAGCCAACGAGGCCGCAGATCTGGTGTTGGAGTATCTACGTGAGTCACTCACCTCACCTCACATCTGAGAGCTCTGTTCTCAGAGACTGACTGGTCGCAGGCAAGCAAAACCGCCCATACTCGGCTATCGATGTGTCGGCGAATCTACACAACAAGGTCACAAAAGGTTCGTTGACCTTCACTTCTACCAGACAATGACTGATTTGAGGCAGCATCTGCCGCAAAAATTCTGAAAGATCTCCACGAGCAGAAAGCAATTGAGGGGCGTGCCGCTGGTGAGCTCTGTCGAGGCTGCATGTAACTCAACCCAACTGACATCTCCAGGCAAGCAAATCGTATACCACGCTTTGCAGGTAAGGTTCAGTTCTTTCCCTTATACAGCATCTGCTCAGGTCTGACCTACTTGTAGAACGCAGCCGATGCATGCACTACTGAACAACTCGCCACGCTCGACGAAACCATTCTCGATCTCCGCACACAAACCACCACTCTTGTCGCAGCCGCAAAGAACCTCCGCGGCTCACTGTCCAGCCTCAACTCTACGCTCAGCACAGCAGATCTTGTCGCCAGTGTTACCACTCTTGAGACGGAGAAAGAGCAGATCGAGTCTAGACTTGATGGTCTGAAGAAGGGGAAAGCGAAGAAGGTAGGTTCAATGTACTCAGAGTGATTGATGCATCTTTGTGCTAATTCTATAAGGTCACGACATCAGAGCGAGAAGCTATTGAGAAGGAATGGAAGAAGAGCATTCGCGTGGCAAAGAAGAGGCAAAAGATTGTGAAGGAGATGTGGGAGATGATCGCGGAGCAAATCCCTGATCCACAAGAGAGAGAGGACCAGAGGGAGAGGTTCGATCTCGACGGGTAAGTGTCTGCTACGCTGTCACAGTGGCGCGAGTGATGCGTAGGGTACCATGTGCTGGCGATGGCGAACGGTGTCGTGTGAGCATACCAGGACCATCTAGTGAAGTCAGATAATCCAGGTTTAAAGACGCACTACTTAAGAACGGACAAAAGTGCATCGCGTTTGCGTATATATCATTCACATCGTACTATAGACGTCGCTAATATGCTCTCCAACGCCACCCTGACAAACCCACAATGATGCAAACCAAACCGAACAAGAGATGAGAGGTGAGATCCCAAAGGCAGAAAAGCGCCCATACAATGCAGTACAGACACTAATGCATGAATCGCACGAAACATAGCCTGCCAGGCCAGCTGGCGAGCCAACAGAGTTACTAAGACTGCGCAAACAACATCCCAATGCAACGTGACAGAACGTAAACAGCGTTATGATGCAGGTCTCTCGACGACTCAAGAGCGCTGATAAGAAAACGAGCTACGGAGGTCATCTCTGATCTCCTGTGACAAATTATCATCGGCGTCTATGTGACTGGGATCCTGAGCATGTGCCAATTCTTCGAGGGTTTTGGCGAGGGCAGCGCCTTCGGTGCGGCCGCGGTCCACGTTGACGAGCATCATGATGGGGAAGGGGAGACCGACTAGGATGGCTAGGAACCAGAAGGCCTGTAGTTCAATTAGTAAGAGGCATGAAATTCAGAAGTGTTGAGCAGACTTACCGGTCTGATCTCGCCATAAGCATCGGTGATAGCGCCTACAATAGCGGGACCAAAGACGCTGCTGCCTTTGTCTGTAATGGCGTATAGAGCGTAAAAGGCGGCTTCGTAGCCAGGAGGGATGAGCTCGCCGAATAGCGCACGGCAGTAACTGCTGAGACCACCAAGGACGAAGCCGTAGACTGCGCCTAGAGGGTACATTTCCCACTGCTGCTGCAAACCCAGGTAACCTAAGCGCTGAACTGCTGGTATATACCCTAGAAGACCGTATATTGGAATTACTTCAAAGAGCATGATGCAGAGTAGGATTGTTTGTGTTGGCGACAGGCGGAAGAAAGCAGATAGTCGTGACCACAGGAAGGCGCCCAGAACACCGAAGACTGTTGCGATAACGTTGATTAGGGCGAGCATGGCGTAAGACATTCCTAGCGTTGTCTTTGCAAAGAGCACCGCTGTACCGGATACAGTGGCAATGCTGTCTGAAAGTAGGAACCACGCTGCGAGGAAGAGTAGTACATCTTTGAGATGACGCGCGTGCGTCGCTGTACGACCAAGAGATTTCCACGAGTATGCAAAGTACGCAAGGGCGGTGCCAAAGTTGGAGGTTTGGGCACCGATATGCAGCGGCGGTCCTGGACGGGGACGCAGCCAGCGCGCTGTCGGTAGTGTGAAGACGAACCACCACGCGCCGATAACGAAGAGGACCAGGCGGAGGCCAAAGTTGGAGGACTGGAACGCAATGACGATGAGGATACCGATAGTTTGCACAAGCAAAGCAGCAATGTAACCGATCGCGATACCGTAGGACGAGATCTTGGTTGCAAGTGCGAGTTCCACTGAAGGAGCGGACCTGCTTCTCGCCCTTGGGATTGTCAGGTCGGCGGCTGAAAGATTACTTGGCAACAGGGCCGTTGTCGCATCGGCGACTTCGTCAAGAAGGCCCTCTCTTTGTCCGAGCTGGTTTGCGTATTGCGCTCCTCGTATTATGTTCTCCTGCGTCGGAGTCTCTCCACCTCTCTCATCGTCTTCTTCTGTCTCCGCCTCGTCTTCCTCGTCTACGTACGATTCGTCTGCGATTGAGTCGGCGTACTTGACTGTAGGGTGGAAGCGCACCATCAGCGGTAGGAAGCTGTTCAGTAGTACGAAACTAGCACCAAAGCATGTGTTTGAAATGATTGCCAGTACTGCGCCTAGCAGATACACCTTGGGTACCACAGGTAGGAACAGCATGGTCGCGATGCTTCCGACAAATGCGAACCAAAGGAGGAAGGTCTTCCTGAATCTCCCATGATCCGCTGCGCCGCTCATGCTTATGATCAACAGAGCCTGTATGAGGACCGATATGCTGAATGTGTACATGGCGAAGCTCGCAGTGTTGATCTCGATACCGAGGATATGAACGACGCATTGTCCCTTTTCAGGATTCGGTTTGAACAGAGCTTCTACGGCGTTGGTGGAAAATGATGGGCCTGGATGGACGGTAGGCTTCGTGGCTTTGCACGGTGTGGAAGGATCGGATAAAAGGACGCCATTCTCGCGCGCGAGTTGCTCGAGCGTTACAGGTATGAAAGATCCGATACCGCAAACAACAAAGACCTGGAGTGGTTAGTGTCGGTGCTCGCGTGGTTCATGAGCTTGCCGAGTCGCGTCAGAAGTAGCATCACGACAGAGACACGCGCACAGCTTTGCGATGTTGAAGCAAGCTTGCAAGTACCTGAAGCAAGTGGGAATGGTAGTAGGAAGGAAGGAATGAAGTACCTCGGCAGCCCATCCATACATGTAAAAGCCGCGGAGCTCCTTGTCGCTGGTCAACCGGGTGTCTTCGCCCTCGTAGTGGGGCTGCGAGTCGTGGGACTCCATGTCGAGGCTCTGGTCGGAGGAGAGACTCTGCTCATCGTCTGCCTCGTTGGACTGCGATATGGACGGCACCGAGACTTTGGATTGTGAGGACGCATTGCGCGCGATGGTCGGGCGCTCATAGGGCGGGAGCTCGGGCGCGCGAGGTGACATCGAGCGATTGGAAGCAGTCGTCCACAAAACAGGGTCCTGCGCTAATCAACGGAAATGCGTCACCACAACTGAGACATGATGAAGGATCGATGGATAAATGCGACAGCTGACCGGGCTGCTATTCAGGTCCGAGGGCAACTTCTAGTGGGCACGCTGAGGTCAGGCCCAAGCTGGGGAGAGATGTGGAGTTGTTGGGGTGGCAGCGGATGATCCCATGGGCATGACCTGTGAACATCTGATAAAGCGTCTACTTGCAGTAGAGGCTTATCCGAGAAAGACATTGGACAAGGCGCTTGCGCTCAAGCTCGCATCTAGATAGACTACTGGCCGCCGCAGCCGCAAGCTCGCCGAGCCGCGGACAGCAATGCGGTGAATAACTGAATCTGCTAGTGACAAAGTGGCTAGCTATATCGCATCCGCTCGACGAGATATGCAGTGTCGTCGACGCAGATTATAGAGCAAGCTGGGCCCTCAAGCTTGACTCGGTTGCTGACGCGACCTCAGTGTGTCTGGCAGGAGATGCAGGGCTCCATCGTCAGCATGCATGGGTGGAGCGAGAGCCAAGGCGCTAAACCCAATCCACGCCCTCCCTCCCGTCGTCGGTACGAGAGGCTGCTGATGTTTCAACGACCTCATCGCTGCAACCACACACCCGCCCACGACGCGCGCACCCCATCCACGACCACTCCGGACTATTTCCCACCGCTCTACGGCCGCGACTGCCATCACGACGTTTTGCAGCATTCACAGTCCACGATGCGCTAGTCGGCAGCGCCCCGACCTCGCTTTCTTTCACCTGCTGCATTCGACCAGCGCCCTTTCAACACTCACTGCGCCCCGTGCTATCTCGACGCTTCCATTCTTACGCCAAAGCATCTGCTTTAATGAGCGCACATCACTCCTAACCTGCGCATTTCACCGCCGACTCCACCGTCAGCCCTCTGCACGCAGTCTCGGTCACGATCCAAACACCGCGCGGTTGACATTCTCGCGAAAACATCAAGGAAAAAGCGCGACCACACACTTCACGAAAGCTATAGACGCGCGCAAAACGGGTGCGCAGACGGCGCCCCAGGCCGCGGGACGGAGGACGACGTAGTATGCCAGGCATTCTCAACATGAACCACACCGGGTCCGACTCAGCGACGGCTTCACGAGATGCAGAAAACAGGAAGCGCAGCCACAACGGAGATCTGACCAATGGCGGACTGAACGGTGCGCGAAGTGACACGCCGACAGGGGGACCTGCTGTCAATGGGGGTCCTTCGCGCGAAACCAGCACCAACGGCGCATCCATGGCAGTCGCAGCAACGGCCGGTCCCACGCTCGAACAATACTCGGATTTGCCCCCAGAGATCGCTCACATCGGCCCCGAGCAGTACATGTCGCTATCGACACTGTTGTTGCGGATATCCCAGGAATCTTACAATGAATTGGAGGAAGTCCTGAAGAACATGGCCGCCATTCAGATAGCGCCAGTCTCGAACGGCGCTCTCCCCAATGGCCTTGGCGCGGCAAATGCACAAGTGAATGCAGAGGCGAACAAGCGTAAAAAGCTGGTTGTGCTTCAATTCGCGCAGGAGCAACGGGCTAAATTTATCAAGCTGCTAGTTCTCACCGAGTGGGGAAAGAAAGCTTCCGTTGACATCTCAAAGCTCATTGATTTGCTGGCCCACGCGAGTACCCAGGCAGCCCATATGGATGCTGCTGACTACAAACTGGAAAAGATCAAAATCCTGTCCAATAATGCTAGGGAAAACAACCCGGATGTTGCGACCGCCCTGGAAGTATTATCGACAGGGAAAGCGTCATGGATGCCGAGCCTGGGCTACATACCGCCCGAACCGATCTCTGCCGAGCAAGCCCTCAAACTCCTTCGGTACATGAACACCTCTCTCTCCATACGTCTCAACGTACACGAAAGCCTCCCACGACACCTCCAAGACTGGCGCGTACATTCTGGACGCGCAACCTTCGTTGTTGCCAACGAGCTGGAATTCGACGTCATGTCCTTTGTAGAGGATGCTTCAGAACAGTGGTTTCTCATCGATCTCCGGTTGCTGTTCACTCCTGCACCTACCATCACTGTCGGTAGCCGTTTCTTCATGCAGCTCAAGCTGCAGGCCGACGTAGTTCTTAAGGAGAAGGGTCTGACCGGCCTTTTCGACTTCCTGAACAATTTCGTCCTAACGCACAAGATCTCTGTGCTTCGATCGCAGGCTGTTAACCTCGTTCGCAGCGGCTGGGCTGGATCTCTCAAGGTTGAGCCTGTGCATCG